GTCTATCTATGTTACACTGCAGCACTAACAGTTCATTTTCTGCACACTTGACTCTCAACTGCAACTCTGCAATTTTCTATAAAACAAGATTACTATTATTTCATCTGATATTCTTTCAGATAACTGTACTAGGACAAGCATGAATGGCTTGGGATTTGCTGGTTATAGCAAGCCTTGAACTTCAGTACAAGGGTATCTAGGCAATCACCACCGTGACAACGATGGATGAAACATTCTACAAGCAGTTCAGAATAACTGTGGGTGATATACATACATCTTGAATGGTGGGAAATACGAATATCTCGAGTTGTAATTACCTGATCTCTATCCTCCAATTCTGCGGCAAGATTTGCATGTTTCTTGGAGACAATGTTTTCACAACTTGCAGATATCTGTTAGGTTTGATAACCAGAAATAATTATGTTTTCCCATTATTTTGGAAAATTTCACTTCATAAAAGTTGAACCAATGAACAAGCATACATGTAGTCAGTCACATGATCCCTGCAAGCATACATACAAGCAGAGGCAGTCACATGATCCCTGCAAGCATGCATACAAGCAGAGGCAGTTACATGATCCCTGCAAGCATGCATACAAGCAGTCAGTCACATGATCCCAGCAAGCATGCATATTAGCAGAGGCAGTCACATGATCCCTGCAAGCATGCATACAAGCAGAGGCAGTCACATGAACCCCGCATACAAGCAGAGGCAGGTCACATGAACATCTGCAAGCATGCATATTAGCAGAAGCAGTCACATGATCCCTGCAACTAGGCATACAAGCAGAGGCAGTCACATGAACCCTGCAAGTATGCATATAAGCAGAGGCAGTCACATGGTCCCTGCAAGCATGCATACAAGCAGAGGCAGTCACATGAACCCTTCAAGCATGTATACAAGCAGAGGCAGTCACATGAACCCTGCAAGCATGCATGCATACAAGAAGAGGCATTCACATGAACCCAGCAAGCATGCATATAAGCAGAGGCAGTCACATGAAACCTGCAAGCATGCATATAAGCAGAGGCAATCACATGAACCCTGCAAGCATGCATACAAGCAGAGGCAGTCACATGAACCCTGCAAGCATGCATACAAGCAGAGGCAGTCACATGAACTCTGCAAGCATGCATACAAGCAGAGGCAGTCACATGAACCCTGCAAGCATGCATACAAGCAGAGACAGTCACATGGACCCCGCAAGCATGCATACAAGCAGAGGCAGTCACATGAGTCCTGCAAGCATGTATACAAGCAGAAGCAGTCACATGATTCCTGCAAGCATGCAAACAGCAAGAATGTTCAATACAGTTTCACTTATGCGTAAAGTGCAGCGCAGCGCAGCGCAGCGCAGCACAGCACAGCGCAGCGCAGCGCAGCGCAGCACAGTACAGTACAATAGAGCAAACAATCTCTGCAAGTTTGAACAAGGATGAGAAACTGATTAAAAAATTAAACAAGCCATGCATGGCACAGTTTCCGTTAGTTATCAAATTTAAGATAGATAGTTTTGCTTATAGTAATATAGCTGGAATATAACCATGTCAGGAATATGATTTTTTAACATTAAAATGATTGACATTTGTATCTGATCGTCAAAAAAGTACTTGTCCATATTGAGAGATATTGCTCTGGAACAGCATTCAAAATCAGCCATTTTGAATACATGTATATATATAACATGATGTATAACGAATATATAAAATTTGAATATAATCAGTCAAAGCATTTAAGAGATATGGCTCTCGAAGCCCAATCATTAAAACAAAATGGCCGCCAGACAGCCATTTTGAATCCGATCTGAAAAATAAATGATGTGCATCAGGAACCTGTAATGTCTAACATATGTACCAAGTTTGAACGAAATCCATCCATAAATGCTTGATATTTGATGATTTTTTAGCACAAAAAAGGCCACCATTTGGCCATTTTGAATAGGATCGTCAAACCAATATATCTATGACATGATGTATAATGAATATTCAAAATTTGAACATAATCAGTGAAAGCAAGTCAAAGATATGGCACGAGAACCACATTCATTAAAACAAAATGACCGCCAGTCGGGCATTTTGAATCTTATCTAAAAAACAAAATTATTTGCATCAAGGTCCCATAATGTCTAATGTATATACCAAGTTTGAACAAAATCCATCTGTTAACAGCTAAGAAATGCTTGTTTTTGATGATTTTTAGCACAAAAATAGCCGCCATTCGGCCATCTTGAATCAGATCGTGAAACAAATTGACGTGCATATGTATACTATCATGTATGATGTATGTGTGAAGTTTGATTGTGATTGGTCCAGGCATTTCTAAGATACGGATCCGAATGCACGCACAGACGCAGCACGCACGCACGGACACACTGCGTCTGAACGGGGACTAAAAATGTTTCATTTTTGAGATTTATTTTTTGCTCATACGTAGGAAGTAGAGTCAGTGCAAAATTTTGATGATTTCAGAAACTGTTTGAATACACTTGAGTCATCATAAAATTACTATGTTTTTTATTTGAAAGAGTCAGGTTTTACTTTTTCTCATGTCCATGTATTAACTGCATAAAATAGACATGATTTTCTCAAAACAAATATCAGTGACATTTTTATATTTGCTAAAGGATTGCCAATACTTGCCTGAAACTGTATCAAACCATAGACCTTAGAAAACAAGGTCTATGATCAAACATTGTAAAATTAAACTTACCTTTTTGTTGAGACTTCGGAGTGAGTTCGGAGCCTAAAAACAGGACAAATTTTAGCGTTATAACTAGAAAAAAAAACACATAATTTGTATCCTTGTGTAAAATGTGGTGGACATGCTTTGTATTGCGTTTAATATTAGGCCCATGTGGTGTATACATGCCAAACCAAGTGAGATTGTTTTGTTACTTACCCGTTGGAATGGCGATGCAAACAGCTTTTTAGATGGTGTACTCAAGTAGCTGCTACAAGTACTAGTATCCAACTCACTATGACAGCTGCCAACTGATTCTACAAACAAATATATTAAAGTGCCTGTGAAATGGCTGCTATTTTCACGCCTAAAATTACCATTGATACATAAATTATTAATTTTTATATTTCTAAGCATAAATTATTTTTTGAAAAAATGTGTTTTAAACGCAGTCTACGGCAACTTTATTTTTGTGTATTTTAAAACGAGGCTCCTCATTAGCTTCTCATTTGCATACAGCAATTCCCCTTGTGACGTCAGAAGGGGAAGTCGCTGGGCAGCTTGCATTGCCGATACGTGTAACTAAGGCAAATTTCTTGGGCTGTTTTCTCATCTTTGACTAAATTGTCACTTATGTACTTGTTCGTCGAGGAAAAATGGACCATAATGAACACATAGTATCAAGTTTGTTGCATGGGGTTGAGTTAGATGCTAAATATGTTCGTTCTAGTGTAGCGGGTCACCGTGATCCTCACCAGGGATCGTCACCGGCGCACGTTTGTACACTGTCGCTGGATAAAATAGAGTTTGACATCTGAATTGTCTCGTTATTTAGCAGGTTACTAGGCATGTTACTACACTGTTTTTTTTCATCGATCGTTTGAGTAAAACAAAAACAAACTTTCAAAATTAAAATAAAAAGAGAACATATTTTGACATTCTAAACATTAAACTATAGTGATCAATAAATGAAATAAAATAATTAAAAAAACGACAAATCACAACCGCGTGGAAATAAATTGACATTTTGTTGAAATAGATGAGCGTGTTGGGTCACGACGAGGACAAGTGCGTTTAATTGGATAAATTCAGAGTGGATTCGAGTTAGCATAATCCATGGCGTGATTGTCATAATTATGACATCATATTAAAACTTATTTGGTGGAAACACATTGACAGCCCAAGCCTGGATTATTATTCCATAAATTATTACGCAGATCAAGCTGCAAGTAAAGGTAACAGAGGTGTGAATTCGACATTCAACGACAATCACCGAACAACTCAGAAACTTTTAGCCTGCGAAAATGAAAACAATTAGCAGTGTGTAAAGGCTGTGTAATTTCCTGTTTGTTCGACGCTTCGTTTTTCGTGTCACTGTCAAAATTATTTCTACCTTTTACTTAAAACGGACTAAATGGTCTCTATAAAACGATAATCAGGATCGCAAAAAGTCAAATCATTTGAAAAACTTGCCCGACGTCTCTCCCTCTAATGAAATCCGCCTCGGTGATCATGGGCTGGTCCGGAATCTATTTCTTTAAAAAGTGTTGCGCCAGGTTGTCGGTGTTTCTCTTTAAACCTAGTTGTTTTTTTCATGGGTGAGAACAGTTTTTAAAAAAAAAGAATCTAAAGTTAAGTGGACACTTTATATGACGCTGTTTCTCGTTGCTTTCACGGCGTTCATCCACTGATGTCGCATCTTCGGATCGATCAGAAACGTGTGAATAATTACACTATGACTATACGTATCACTGCAACTGCCCACAACACAACATCTAAAAACTCTCAAAAAAAAATAGAAAAAAAAAAGAGCCGACTGAAAAATGTACATCGTTTAAAAGTATATTCAATGACCAGTGTTATTACGGCTCAGGGGCATGACTTCCTCTCATATTTTGGCATTTGGTGGCACACTTTCGGCGAGAGTCGGAAATCCGAAAACAGTCTACTGTTTCAGGATAGGTGGGCGTGGTTACAACATGAGAAATATCTCAAATTTACTTGGGATCAAATCAATAACTGCCCATTTCAGTGGAACACAGATCTAAAATGGGAAACGTGTGGGTGGGCATTGCACAGGTTTACCATTTATCAAAGACAACTATTCATGCAGAGGTTGCAAACGGTATATCTTTTTATGCAGGAAATTTAACACTAATTCACACAGACCCTTTATACACCCACACACAAAAAAAAAAAAAAAAAGAGTCCCACTTGAGTTAAAATACATAGCACAACAGATACAAATATAAGTAAAATACTAAAAAAAATAGTTTCTGCTATATTATCATACCTTTACAAGCTTTAAATCTGTCTGACTTTTCAAATACAACTGGTCTTGTGGATTTCTGTACAACTTTCACATTATACGTACCTGGGGCAGGTGCGCAACCTATCAAGATATAATAATGAACGTAAGAAACAAGGTTCCAAAATTATTATCAGTGCAAACCAGTTGTTGACTTTCCCTTGCAGCGTCAACCAACAAAATA